TTTAAAAAGATTTGGGAATGTAGCTAAGTGTAAAGGCCTTGGGTTCTGTTCTAATATTGGAAGAAAGAAATTGCAGCTCACTCTACAGGCAAGTGAGTTTGAAAAAATTCAGGCACCAAAAACCCAAGTGGAGCTACCATTTTATTTCTTCACTCAGCCCCAGGGTATTCTGCATGGAGCAGAGCACTGGGTTCCTTGATTCTGGGGCTTCTTCCCTTGAAGCGAGAGGCCCCCAGTGGCTGGCCCAAGGATGGAGCTGTCCATGGGCTGGCCTCAGGGGCAACACAGTGCTGGACAGGTCGGTGTCCATGCCGTGGGAGAGGTGTGGGAGTGAGAAGAACCTCTGAGGCCTCCCAGGCTGTATGGTGGCGCCTCTCTGTCACTGCAGGATTCCTTCCCAGCCCGGTTCAAAGCCGTCCACTTCATCCACCAGCCATGGTACTTCACTACCACCTACAACATGGTCAAGCCCTTCCTGAAGAGCAAGCTGCTTCAGAGAGTGAGTCGGGGAGTCTAGGCCTTAACAGGAAAGAGCTCTGGGGACAAGAGCGAGGGGTGGGGTACGGTGGGTCAGGGACCCAGCTTGTCTGCCCTAGACTCTGAGTCCTGGTGCTGAGCTGGTGGGTCCCTGGCAGCACAGACCTGGAAGACTGTGGAGAAAGGCCTTGCCTTCCCCTCCCCCCTCATCCTCCTCAGGGGTCCACCTCCTCAGCTGTGTCCTTTGGCTTCCCTGCAGGTGTTTGTCCACGGAGATGACCTCTCTGGCTTCTTCCAGGAGATCGACAAGAATATCTTGCCTGCTGACTTTGGGGGAAGCTTGCCCCCATATGATGGCAAAGTGGCCGCCAAGCAGCTCTTTGGGTCCCAGGCCCAAGCTGAGAACACAGCCTTGTGAGGCATCTCCTCCACCTGAGCTGTAGTTAGCATCCCTGGCCACTCCTTGGTTGTCCCAGTCCCAGACTGGCAAAGGGCTGCCTGAGGTGACTGTAGTTTCCCTACCCTCCCTTAGCTTAGGTAAGTTCAGAGGTCACCTGCATGCCAAGATGGGGGAGGGGCAGCAAAGTAAGGGGAGTCCCTTGAACTGAAGGGCTGGGGACAGTCGTGTGCCCATCTGCCTAGGGAGCTATAGGACTATGACTTTATGTGAAGTTGAATTTTAAAGACTCCTTTTGTCACAGAGCTTTGCTGCTTAGGGTCTATCAAAGCAGGCAAGGAAGCAGGGTTACTGCCCCCAACAATAAATAGAGGATCCAAGTGGGGGTCTTAGGCTCAGATGATTTGCAGATACAGTGATACTGATGGCCTGTAGCTGGCGAGGGGATTTCTGCACAGCATTCCTGGGAGGAAGAAGCTGTGAAGTAGCTTCCTTTTAGGGTGGCCGCTTAGTTTGGTGCCATCTAGCATGTGCAGCCAGGGCTGGCAGCTTGGACCTCCATCAGGTGGCATTCGTGTCCTCCACTGTCTGTCTGGGGGATGGGCCTACAGTATGTTACAGTGAGGAGCTCAAGCAGGAGCGCTGTGGGGCAGTGGGGTACCATTCTGCATGCTTTCATAATTACAAATGCTTTCCTCCTATGGAGCTGGCTGTCTTTAAGTACTTGGTGACTTTGGAGTGTGACTCATTTTTGTAGGTGCCAACCCCAGCACGAGCCTGTTTGCTGAGCTTGAGGCTCCTCTGGGAGAGGTGCTGGCTTGCTGGGATGGGTCTCCCAGGCATTGGCAGATACAACTCCCAAGCTGCCAGTCTTACTGCCAGCTGAAAGCAGACACTCTTTGCTGTTGTCTGGCTGACAGTGGCAGGTGAGGTTACATGGCCAGGTTTTAGCCACTGAGGTATTCCAGAACCAAGCTAAGACCTCTGGTCTTGCCTATAGGGTCACCTCCTTCCTTGGCACCATACCCACCTTTTGTGGCAAGACCTTCCAGAGGTATTTTGGACTATAGGCCAGTCCAATCCCATCTGCTTTTACACCTTCATGACTTCTCTTATCCAAAACAGTTCTCTTTCTTGTTTTGTATGCATCGATTTCTTCCATCCTTTCTTTCATCCCTAAGGTTTGCAGTCTGTTTATTACCCAAGAAACCCCCTTCTTTATAACATTCGCAATCAATAGTCCATGGACATCCATGGTATTTGCACGGGATTTCTGAGCTGGAGAAAAATCATACCAAACTATCATTACTGTGGGTGGAAGGGTGAGAGGCTGACCAGTGAGATTTCTCCCTGAATCTCTTTCTACTACTTTTAAAAAGTTGAAGCTGCCCTTTATCACATCAAAACTTTCATAGGCCCTTGATGGGAAAACCTGAAAAGAAGGAAGCTGCTCTGGGGGAAGACCGTAGAGGGCTCCCTGAGGAATTTCCAGAGCTAAGACAGTATTTCAAGTTTGAGCACATGGGTGGCCGTGACCTGTGGGGCAGTGGGGTTCAGCAGTGACTGCATCTGCCAAGGTGGAGGGTGCGAGTGACCCTTGTAGCGGTGCTGCTGGTAGAGTGGGGATGGGGTGGGGCAGAACTAAATAATTTAAAAGAATTTTTTTTAATGCTTTTAAGATACACCTGTAAGTGTTTTTCAGGAGTCACATCCCAAATCTGAGGAGTGCAGTGGTCGATCATATCATCTCTCCCCGAACTCCTATTTGCCTTCTGGGATGCAGCCTTTTGGCCTGAGTTCAATCCCAGGTTCAAAAAGAAAAATGCAGGCAGATATTGGAGGGCTCTCAGGAAGCCTTGGATCCTATTCAGGTCCCAAGAGGCGGCTGAGCCCCCCTTAAAGTCAGCAGAACCAGGGCTTTACCTCAGAGAACATTTTCTGACAATAAAATCCGGTAGCTGAGGAAGGAGCTGAAGGGTTGGGACCTGGCTAATCTGCTGTGATTGTGGGAGAATACTGTCCCCTGCTGGCTGTGCTTGGCACTGCCCCCCGGGGACAAGCAGGGTAGGAAGGTGCACACTTGATCCACAGGGATCCTATCCTGGCCAGGCTGCCTGCTAGACCTGGTACAGCAGAACCTCTGTGGGCCAGAGCCCTGCCAAAGTCATTGTAAGGCTCTTGGAGGGTTCCAGTGGCAGGGAGGCTGTGAAGCAGTGCCTCAGGAGGCTGTGAGGCAGTGCTGGGCTCTCTAATGGTAGGCCCTCTGCCAGACTGGCCTAGGAAAGCCACTGGGAGAGCACATGTGGAGATCTTCAATGTACAAAGCAGACATACACTCAGGCCCACACCTATAATCCCAGGCCTCAGGAGGCTGAGGCAGGAAGATAACAATTTCGAGCCCATCTTGTACAATTTAGCAAAACCTTGTCTCAAAAATTAAATATTATAGGGCCGGGGAGATGGCTCAGTAGAATAAGCGCTTCCCTGGCAAGTGCAAGGGCCTGAGTTCAATACCTGGTTCCACCAAAAAAAAAAAAGTTAAATATTATAAAAGGACTCAGGATATAGCTCAGTGCAAAGGCTCTGGGTTCAATTCCCATATGACAAACACAAAACAAAAAGCAAATAACCTGGCAGGTTAAGCTCATAGATCCCATCTGTTTATGTGTGATATCCCATGCCTGTCCCCTCCACCCTATACCAATGAGCTGGAAGAATGAGGACAATGAAATGGGCTTGAAAGCCACCGCCGCAAGGAGGGGAGCAACGTATGAACTCGATGACAATCATTTCTTCCTTCTGAGACATCTGGGATGAGGCAGGGACTCTGCTAGCCATGTACTAGGGCAGCGGGAGAGCCAGCAGATCACAGAGCTGTTTCTACTGTCCTTATGTGGCCCATGCGACAAGGGAGTCGGCAGATTCTGGAGGCCATTCAGCAGCTGTGGGTGGGGACTGTGCAGAGGAATGGCGCCTAGCCTCAAAAGCCTCTCATTGGGAATGGCTGCTGTGTGAGCCTTGAGTTTGCTGGCAACACAGGAGGAGCCTTGTGCTGCTTGGTGGCCTGGGAAGGCTCCCAGAAGAGGGATGCATGCCCTTGTCTTATGTTAAGCCAGCCAGAGAAAGAGGTAAGGGGTCATTTCTGATCCACCTCTATGGGAGGGGGTTGGCACTGTGGTTTGGAGTAGAGTCAGCAGGGCTGAGTCTAGCAGCTCACAGGATCCCCAGAGCCACACCATTTGGAGGGTGCTGCAGGAGGGCAGCATCTGCCCTGCTCTGAAGCCCACTAGCAGTGTGGAATGTTAGGTTCTGCTTCAGCCCTATTAAATCAGAACCTGTGTTTTTAAGAAGACTCCTGGGGATTGACCATTAGAGGGCCCAGAAAAGCTCCTGAGGCAGTGCTTTGCAGCCTCCCTGCCACTGGAATTCTCTAAAAGCTTTGAAATGACACCTGCCAGGCTCTGGTCACAGAGGTTCTCTGTACTGGGTCTGGCAGACAGCCTGGCCAGCGGACCCCTGTGGCTCGAGTATCCCCGGTATATTAACTAGGGAAGACTGTGAGGCTGTGGGAGACCCAAGTTGGGCAGGGGTCAGTATCTAAGGATTTAAGGGCAAACTGCTCCGGACAGAGAAGCAGGGCTACCACAGCCTGGCCTTCCAACTTGGGATATGAAAGCCCAGTGGGAAGGTAGCAGTCAGAGGCTAAATGTCTCAGACTAAGAGCAAGTTCCTCTCTGGGGCTGGATCCAAGTAGCCCTATGGGTGTAACACTATACCTTGGTGTCTCACCCCGAACATGCCGAGGAGCGAGGTTTGGTGGAACGCAGACAGCTTGTCAGTATTCCCAGCCCAGGAATGCTCTTGGAAGCTACATCAACGCAGGCATCTCTGCGCTTTCCCTGCAGGCCCATCAGTTAGGTGCTCTAGTATGAAGCTATACCACAGGGACACTTGGCTTCCACAAGTGGCTTCCACAATGGCTTTCACTCCATTCCAGCAAATGATCTGAGTGGGACTTAAAGTGAAAGCTGCAAAGTGAAATAGCACTGAAAATGGTATTTGGCTCTCAATATTTTTTTTTCTTTTCTTTTTCTCAATATCTTGAAGTAGGCTTTGTGTGTGTGTGTGTGTGTGTGTGTGTGTGTGTGTGTATGTGTGTGGCAGGCTGGGCCCACCCTGAGGGTGGGACTGGTGTGGCATGTGGGGCCGGGGATTGAACTGCTGTCCCTGCACTTGCCTAAGCTTGCCTAAGCAGGCGCTTTAGACCACTGAGCTATCTCGCCAGGCTCAAAGCAAGCATTCTTAATGATTTTCATTTTGATCCCAAGTAAAAACTCCCATATCTGACACAGAAACCTGCTTAGGGTCAAAGGACGAGGAAGTAGTCAGGGTAAGGACTCCAACCTCTCAACTCTTGCTCTGAATCTGTTCTGTTGTTACTGTGTGTATTTTATCTTAAATGTTTATTTCTAGGGGTGGGGGTATAATTGGGAGAGGAGAAGAACAATGAAATGAGAACTTGGATTTATGTTCAGTCAGTTTTCCCAACCATCCTCCGATAAAGGAGGGAATAACTTTAAGAGGAAACTAACCAGCTTTCAGTAGAGATGCCAAGGTAATTCTGACTGTAGCATCAAAAGGGCTAGTGTGAATTCTGAGCTGTCCATAAGATGGGGATCATGGGCCCATTCCAAGACTAAAGTAAAATACAAGTTTGTTGTAGGGACAGACACAACTGGCTGCTCCACAGAGAACAGCCCAGGGAAGGTCAGCAGACTCGGTGACACAGAGACAGAGGGCCTAACTGGGGACAAGGGAGGCAGCCACTGCACAAACAGCACACCCTGCACAAAGGAGAGTTTATTTTCATGGACTCTCCAAGGAATGTCATTATTCATTTTTAACAAGGTGGGCAGGAGCCCCTGGAAAGGGACTTTCCCTGCTTGTTTCCTACCAGGCAGCTACTTCAGTGACCTCTTAGCTCATTGCTATACATACATGGACTGTGGATTCAAGGCAGATTGCCTGGGTTCAACTCTCTCTCTACATTTTCTTTTTTTAAAATGTATTTAGTGGGGCTGGTGAGCTGGCTCAGTGGTCTAAAGCACCTACTTAGAACAAGCTTAGCAAAGCACGGGGACCACGGTTCAATCCCCCAGCACCACATGACAGCCATCCCCACCCCCTGGAGGGCTGAGCTGGACACACACACACACACACACACACACACACATAAATAAATAAATAAAATTAAAAAAATGTATTTAGTGCAGGATCTCACTATGCAGCTCAGACTTGAAGTGATTCTCTTGTTTTCAGCTTCCCCAGCACTGGGATTACAGACGTGTGCCACCATGCTCAGACTTGGTTGCTGGCTCAGTATGCCCCAGGGGTGGGGCCAGCATGGCATGTGGGACTGAGGATCGAACCCTGGTCCCTGTGCTTGCCAAAGCAGGCGCTTAGTCCGCTGAGCTATCTTGCCAGCCCTCTCTACATTTTCTGTAGTTTGTTCACTGTTGGGTCCTGAGCAAGTGATGTAACCCACTTTAAGAACCTACTGGGCTGGGGAGATAGTTCAGTAGAAAAAGCACTTGCCTGGCAAGCGCAAGGGCCTGAGTTCAATCCTCGGGTCCATGACAAAAAAAAAAAAAAAAGCTACTAATCAGGTACTGATTTAGTAGGGCTGAAGCAGAACCTAACATTCTGCATTGCTAGTGGGCTCCAGAGATGGGCAGGTGCTGCCCTGCTGCAGCACCCTCCAAATGGTGAGGCTGTGGGGATCCTGTGAGCTGCTAGACTCAGCCCTGCTGACGACCCTACTCCTTTGTTTGAAGCCACAATGGGAGAACCTTTGAGAGGTTCAGCAATTCAAAGCCAAATTGCCTATAAATGTCTTTCACTCAGTAAAAGGGACCACACCTTCCCATAGTCACTGTAGAAAGTGACTGACCATCACTTCCTCTAAGGACTCTCCACAGAGATTAGGAGGGGAGGCTGTCTCACAGAGGGCCATCTGGTGAGATGCGGGGGCCTTGCCATGTGAAAGCAGCTGGCTGATAAAGGCACACCAGCAAGTATGTTGGCTGCACTGGGGCAGCCAGGCTGTGTCACCAAAGCCACATGTGAGAGGACCACCTAGCAGAGGTGGAGCAGGTGACACTCTAGGACACTGCTGACATCAACCTACTTAACACCGTGGACCTGAAATCTTTTCCAGGCAGCTCTTTTCATAGGCAGTGTTCTTTGCAAGTTGGTTTTTTTGGATCAAAACAGTCTGGTTCACTTGCGGGCACAGGAAGTGCGCGTGTATATGTTTTTGTGTGTGTTTGTGTGGACTTGCTTACCAGAGAGGAATGAAGTTTGAAGTCTGATACTGGAGATTCTTAGGTCTTGGGAATGGTGCCACTGCACAGTGCTTCAGAGCAACACTCCTACCCTGCCCTACTTGTCAAAGGTGTTGCATGGTCCAAGAAGGAGGCAGCTCAGTTCAAGGATGGGGTAGGGTTTAGTTCTCTTGGCTGAGCCAGTGCCTGACCTGGGAAACCCTTGATCAGGTTCAAAGAGATCCAAAGGAGAAGAAAACCCCATGCTCACCCAACCCAACCCAACCCCACCCAACCCAACCCAACCCAAAACCCAACCCAACTGGACCCAATCCAACCCAACCCAATGTGCACCTAGTCTTCTGAGAACATTATTGGAAAAGCAGTAATTTCTGGTAAGCACTGTTTCCCCAGTGTCTTGAATTTGTCTGCATGGTTCACTGTAGAAAGTGACTGACCATCAACAACTCACCTATTTCGGCTCTTGGTTTGTTTGTCTGCACAGGGCAGGCTTGTGAGGTCACAGTGGGCTGGCCGTGCCTATGATATTTGTTTGCAAGGCAACGGTAGGGTCAGTTGTGAGAGGAAATTGGTGTTTTGTGGATTTCCATTAAACTCATGTTTTGTTGAAGATACAGGAGGAATCCCTTTTCAGTAGAAAAGCCCCACTAGACAAAACAAACATACCAAACAGCACATTTTTAATCTTTATTTTTTTAAGTAAAGAAATTCCATTGAATCAAAGATAACAAAATTACGGTTTTTGTTTGTAATGATCTTTGTTCACCACCACACAGAATCAAAGTAGAATCAAAAGTAATATGAGAACAGAAAATGATCAAGGACATCATTGTTTAGTATAATTTCTTAATAAAGGTAAATATCCTCATATTTAGAAAAAATTGCATTGCTAGTTGCAAACCTTAAACACCTCAGCACTGAAGGATACTGTATTTCCCCCCAAAGATCCAGCAGCGTAGAGGTGCTATGAACAAAAACTCAAAAATACAGTATTTTGGGGGCAGCATTTGAAGTTTTGGAAAATTTAAATATAACACAATAAAAGAACCAGAATCAGGAATGTAAAAGTGATGGTTCTTAAAAATCAATCTGGAAGCAGATCTGCCAAGAAGAACATGGCTGAAAGGGGTCTCACAGGGAAAAAGAGATCAAACTGGCGCCCCGTCCCCCACCCCCACCCCTGGCATCACTAAGGCAGCTGCAATGGCAGAAGTCAAAAGCTCAGGTACAGTGAAGGTCTTCCTGAGGCAGTGGGAGAGACCCAGATCACTTGGAACTGGTGTGGAGAGGTGACAGGCTTCTACATGGACTTGTGCTTTAGGAAAACCAAAGAGGCCCAAATACAAACCAAAAGGAACCTTGCTCCTGCACCGAGGAGCTTTGGCCACTCCTAAGAACAGCCTGGGGGAGAAGTGGTTGGCCCCGGGACCAAGGTGGGCAGCAATTATTCTAGGTGTCTGGGAGGAGAATGCCCACTGTGACTAAACGTAGATATTTCTCCAAGGACTATAAATGGACTGTCCCCAACTTATGGCAATGGTGGATTTATTGGCTACTGGGGACCAGAGCAGGAGAAGGTAGGTTATGGATTTGATAGGAAGCTATTAAAAGCTGAGAATTTCATGAAACTCAAAATGTGACACTCCACCAGTCTGAAACTACCTTCAGCTTACCAGAGATGCTGTACACAAAAGCTCTATCCACCTATATGCTAGGGAAATGGTTCAGAAAACATGGACTGGCTCTTGCAAAAGGTGCAGCTGTCTGTTCCCTAGGAGTTGGAGAATGGCTGGCGTGCTGTCCTCTGTGGCCTGCTGCCATGAGCTGCTCTGGAAGCATGTGGGCCATGGCACCCAGGGGTAGTGGCAGCAGTGACACAGGGAGAGCAGGTGGCCTTTGCTTTGGGTGGTCTTCCAGGTCCCTCTGCCAGTGGGGCTTATTCCCCTTTCCTTAGCTCCAAACACAATTTGGCAAAAGTAACCTAGTTTATGAAGAGGGGGTATGTACTTCTTTCTGCTTAGATCATAGAGGTGGAAGGAAACCTTGCCCTTCACTGCTTGGCCTCAAGATGCCACAGGCAGGTATCCAGGTAACCCAAGTGACTGAATAAGGCCAAAACCAAAAGGCACAGGGGTGCCAGAGATGAGGCCTCGTGGCCCATGCTGGGTGCATGTTCTGTGGAGGGCTGGGAGATGGTGTGTAACTTCATGAGGAGCCCTCAGGCCCCTGCAGAGAATACTCTGGCTTGGCTGTGACTTTGCTTCACACTTCCACCACAGAAGAATTTGAATTTCTGTGCCACAATATTGTTGTGATACCAAGGGATCTTCTAGAGAAAAGTTAAGGCTCTGTGAGCAAAGAAGACAGTTCCAGATGATATTGTGATGGAGTGCTGCCGGGAAATGCTCCCGAACAACTCCAGTCTGCCGAAGGGACAAAAACTTAGTTCCTACACTTAAAACTTGGTTCCTACAATTCAATGGGCTGTTTCAGTGATCTTTACTTTAGCTCTCATTAGGGTCAAGGCCAGAGCAAAAGGAGTGTCTGCCTGTCATCCCAGCACTTGAGAGACTGAGGCAGTTGCCCCTCTTGAGGCAACTTAGCAGGACCCTGTCTCAAAATAAGAAATAGAAAAGGGGGCTGGAGATATAGCTCAGTGTGACGGAAGGCTGTGGGTTCAGTCCCCAGTACTAAAAAAGGAAAAGCCTCTTAATCTCAGGCATCTGCTTGCCTGGCAAACCCAGATAAGAACTCATGCACTACTTCTGCCACCTCACAAGTCGCCCAGTTACACAGAACACTCCTTCAGATGCAGGCAATATAAGCGCAACAGCCCAGACAGTTCAGCTCAGTGAAGACTGCTTTAGAATGAAAGCCTGAGGAGGAAGGATTTCTGCTCTGGAAGTTCTCTGTGCTCTGCCTTGTCCTGCTAAAGGACGGAGACAGTGTCCTCACCCCAGTGGCCAGCACCTGCCAGCCACGAGACTGCCCTCAGAATCACAAGGAGACTATGGTGACAGTGGAGATCTGGAAGAGGTGCCAGTCAGAGACACAGGGCTTTGGACAGTATCCAGCGTTCTAAGAAGGAAAAGCTGAATGAACAAACTTGCTCTCTCCCAGGCCCCTTGTGATGAGCCGTGGGCAGTGACCAGCCCCTGCCACCTGCAAGTGCTGCAGAGGCCAAGTTCAGGCAAATGTTTAACAATGACCTGGCAGGTGACATAGCCTTCAAGATGGCCTAAGATGAGGTGACAGGCTGAGAGGTGAAGTGACTTTTCCACATGTCCAATGTGATTTTGGGACAGTGGGTTAAGAGGTGGCTCTCCCAGGCCTTGGTTCCATGACACCATGTCAGAAATGCTCCTCTTCAAATGTAATTTCCACCTCGTGGTGGGCCCTAAGATTCCCTGCAGAGAGCTCAAGGAATGTGACAACACACAACTTTCTCTCCTTACTCTTCTGGAATCATGGGTATGAACCTGCTGCAGGAAAGATAAGAGGTTTTCTGCTATTCCACTAAACTCCCTTCTCATATAAATGTATCAAAGAGGCTTGATACTATTTTTCAAAGTCAGAGAATCCTAATCTGACTAGGACCATTGTCTTCCAATTATTTGGGGGGCAAGGTGAAAAGTGGGTGCTTCTGCCCCTTAGGTTTTGACAAGTGATTGCTGCCAAAGAACTGTCCACATCTACATGATTTATAGCCTTGATATGATTTGAAAATAGAAGATTTGTATACTCTTCAAAGATTCAGCCTTGTTTTAGCTCAAATAAAACCTTACTAGCAAGGAGAGCATTTGCATTTTCATCAGTAATGAATGACTGGGAAGGAGAGCGCAGAAGTCCAGAGGAAGGAAAAAGATGACCTACATAGAAAGTGCCGGTCCCTTGTTGACCAGGCGACTTTGCATCTCCACGTTCAGTCCCTCTGTGCTCTCATTCAGGCACAAACAAGAATCCTCCTGTGAGACAGCCACAGTCCTGGGCTCACTTCCACGCCTGAGAGCCTGAGGCCTGAACAGAGGGCTTCAGTTGATATCATGTGAACCAAAATGAAATGTAAGTACCATTCAGATCACACACTGAGGAGATTTCAGCTGCCCCCACCTCCTGGGGGATTCTGGTGGCAAATCTGTGTCCCACGCTCCTAGTACCACTCCCCTCCCCGGGTGTGAGACCACAGAGTGGTCTTTTCTCCTGAAGGGATTCGTACCTGGGCTACCACTCTAGTCTATGGGTCAAGAGATGTAGCCTCAGGCAAACAAAAGGAGCCCCTCACTTCTGGGGATGGCGAGTCAACCCTTTCAAGTTATTGCTTAATTTACCTATTTTCACAAAAAGTAAAAATTCCTTCAAGGGATGAAGGTCATAGCAGGAATGATGGCTAGGAATCTTCTAGGTTATAGTTGTGATTGGGTGGTGGGAGAAGTAACAGATGGGAAAGACTAGCTTTCAGATTGAGGGGCAGAGGATAAAGTGCCAATTTGTGCAAAAAGAACATGAAAAGAAAATGCATTGACAAAAACAACAGTTTGGGAGAAAAGCCGGAGTTCCACAATCTGATGCTGTGAGAAATTATACCAAAGCGAAGTTGAGACCACAGAAATCTCAGTCTTCGGAGAGAATGGCTGCTTCTGTTGTTATCAGGGTGATCTTGTGATTGTCAGGAAAGCACTTCTTCAGGCTACAGGCGTTACCATCACATTCACTTGGGCCAGTGCCCAAACTCCAGCCAGGATACCCTTTGGGCTGGCATTTAGGAGAGCTCAGATGGCCCCCTGCCCACAGACTCACAAATTATTTTCTAGTCTGTCCTGCTGCCAAAGGAAATGAAGGAGAGAAAATAGCTTTGTAAAGTATCCAGGTGATTTCTCTCAGAGTTGTTTGTTTCCAGAGAGCAACTGCTGAGTTTTCCAAGTGCAGGGCTCTTAGGGTTCTTAGATAGTCAAGTACCACAGGACTGGAGAAAAGTACTTGAAACCTATAGTGATGTTTTCACTTAAGACAGTTCAGAAAGATCCATCCAACAGTTAACAATTAGAGACTATTCTTTTCAATGTTTCAAGTGACACCTTCGGGTGGAAACATCTTTCTTCAAACCAGAGTTAGAGGGACCAGGGTTAGAAACTAAAATTACAATTAAGTGCTTAAAAAGACTCCCCAGGCCTCTTTATATGAAATGAGGGACAGGGAAAAAACAAACAAACAAACAAACAAACAAACAAACAAAAGGCAAATGATGACAGCCATGCGGTCCCAAGAGGGATGTTCTCTCAAACCTCAGTAGACTGAGTTTATCATTGAACTTCAGAATTGGTGGTCATGTCGGCCATTACCTGGTCCAAGGTCCCCCACCCCATGGCATAGGTGAAGAGCCTCAGGTTCAAAAGGACTCTTGCAGGGCCACAGAGCCAGTGAGAAGCAAAGCCAGGGTCAGCCCAAATTCCCACTCCTCCCCAAGGCCTTTGTCAGGACATCACACTGTGATCACACAGGGAAGTTACACAATATGCCTTGCTGCTCTGGAAGCCCCTAGGAGTGAGGTGGCACCAGTGACTATGAGTTGCAATAAGATGCGCCATCAGGTGCTGTGATGGAAAAGCGCCGGGACAGGCGTTTCCCAAGTTTGCCTGGTGATGAGAATCTCCTGGGGCACTTGTTAAAAATTAAAATCCCCAGACCCCTTCCCAGACCATCGGCAAGGGGAGGGGCCTGGGAGGCTGAATTTTTAACAAATGCCCCATGAGAATCTCAGCAGCAGCGAGGCATGAGGAAACTGCTTGGAAGATGAGCAGGAAGAAAACTTGGCTTGTGACTCAGGGGAATTCCTTTGCCATTTAAGAGGCCCATGTGCTAGGATTCCCAAACTCAGCAGTCCTCAGCACTCGCTTAGGATGGGGAACTCCACGGAAGGGCACATACAATCACCACGAAGTAACATGTGTCCTTTGCTGTTCTCAGGGAAAGGCCTTTTGATTGGCAAAGCAAAACTGCTGTCCAGACACATTTTGAATAGAGAAACTAGGTGTACTTGGCTTAAAAGCAATCAGATGCTGAAACCTGACACGGTGCGAATCCTGTTGCTTGTCACCATGGCTAACAATGCAGTGGAGAAAACCAGTAAGTAAGCACAAAAATAGCCTGGAGCCCCCAGGAGAGAGCTGCCTACTTGAGATAGGAGCGCATGACAAGTGGCCCGCTGATGGTATGAGGTCAGATCCAGGTCAGGAGGGAGATGGGGGACCTGAAGCAGCGAGTAAGGGACGTGGGGCCTAGGGGCAGGCCACTGCAGCTTGCCGGAGTCCCGAGGCCTCACTCCAGCTCCACCTCCACCTGCTCCGTGTCAGAGCACTGTGACTTGTTTCGTTCCCAGTGGCAGATGGCATTGGCGTACTCTACCACCAGCTTATCCATCCACGTCAGAGGCTCAGGGAACAGCACAGAGCCTTCAAAGAAGCCCAGGTGGCCCCCATGCAGGGGCAGCACAAACATGACGTTCTCCCGTTTCTCTGCAGGGCAAAGGCAGCGGGTTACTACTCCTTACTGAGAACCAGGTGAGAGGGGTAAGGGGGAGCTGACTGGGGTACTTTACTCATGGGAAAGTCACCCAACCTCTGCTTCCTCTGCTTTGGTCACCAACATGGGCATAGGCCTTTGATGTGACTCAGCTTGGCTTTGGTGTAGAATGGGTACCCACTTCAGGAGTCCTTCTGACTCTAAGTCCAGGACACACTCAGACTGGAAGTATCTCAGGGAAGACGGAAGAGAAGAGCTAAGGAGGGGGTCCAGGCATCAGGCTGCTACTGCTCCCAGGCAACCTGTTATCCTCCCCAACTTTGTGCATCTGGATCCCCCAGGGTACCTGATCTAGTAAACTGGGGTGGGCAGGCTCAGAGTGGGGTTCAGAGCATGCAGTGTTATTTACTATAGAACAAGGAGAATTCAGTGGCATCAATGGTTTTTCATGCCAGGCACTTAAGACTAAGGGTTAACTTCAAGCTGAAAGTTGTATCAGAAGACACCCAGTCTGTGAACATCGCCTGCTAGCAGGCCATCCTGAGAGCTAGCTGAAGCTTGCTTTGTGAACCCTTGGTTTGGTTGGCCCCACCCCACAAGGGCTAGGATAAGGCACCACTGAAGATATGTGCACAGCCGTCAGCCAGGTTTGACAGGAAGTATTTGTCTTCCCAGGGAATGGCTAACAGGGCCCTCTTGCTGGCTCTCTAGGGATTTTTCTTGTCTCACTCCCGTTTTGGTTGCTGTTCTAGAAACTCATGTGGTATTAGCCCAGTGAGTGAAGGAGCTGGGTGTTAGTGCTTACTTTCTCTGCTGCACTCGTGGCCGGGTGGCACTAAGCCTATGGTTAGAGAGGGGATGGAGACAGCTCTGACCATGTGACATGGCCCCCTCACCCCCAGGCTTAGTGCTGAGCAGGGGGCTAGCCCAGGCAGGCTGTGGACACTCTGCTGGCTATATCACCTCTGCCTAGCTCAGGGCCACAGGAGAACCAGAGGCACACTTCCTCCTGGGGATGTAACTGAATTTACAAGAGAAAGGCAATCACAGAGGACTGCAGAGGGTGCTGGGACCTGAAGGCCTGGGGGTCTGAAATGACTAACGTGGGTGCCCCAACATTTACTCCTGTAACCTCCCCGCTTTTCCTCTTAGCTCCCTACCCAGCACAGAAGTTATGCTGCTTATATTTTTATCCATGAAGCAGATAGAAAAGCTATCATCAGAGGTAGCAGAACTGGTATTTTGTTTTGCTTTTCAGGTCAAATTTTTAGTCTAGGTATCTCTTTAAGGAAAATCCTCTCACTTAGTGGAATCACAATCTTGATTCAATAATTGCAAAGAACACCATAAAAATCCCTCTTGGACAGACACTAGGGATGGTCCTGTCTCCTGCATGAGAACGGGACCCCAAGAAGGCTCTGCCCAGGGCCTTCCCAGCCCCAGGACATCAGACACAGAGTAAGAATAGTGCCACAAGTTGTTGCTCCCCTAAGAGGCTGGTCTCCAGAGGCTGGAAGCTCAGGGAAGGTAACAGAATTTACTGGGGCAATCTGTTGAATGGCTGGGGAGCAGGAGGAGAAAACACTTACCTGAAAGAGATTTTGGAATGGTTAGAAGACTTTCATGCACCAAGGGGTCATCAGCCGCATTCACCAACATGAGTGGTACATAAATCTACAATGAGAAAATGAAGCAGACTTCAAAGATGGGCTCACTTTTCTAGCCCCACTGACACAGGGCTCAAATTCACTACCAGACATGTCTTAAAAGCAAAGGGGGGCCAGGGAGATGGCTCAGTGGAGTAAGTGCTTCCCTGGCAAGCACAAGGGGCTGAGTTCAATCCCCGGTTCTGACAAAAAAAAAAAAAAAAAAAAGCAAAGGGAAATGGAGTGGGGTTACAGCTCAGCTTGCCTGGCCTTCACAGGCCATGGGAAAGTGAGTTGAAAGTGCTTCTGTGCTCCCTGCTGGGCAGTAGGTGTGTGCAGGAGCTGCAGGGGACCTGCATCTTCTGGCGGAGAGGAGAGTGCTCAAAGGCGTTCACTGTCAAAATATTTCTGATCTTTTTCCCAGCTTTCCAGACTAGCCATGCCTTTCAGGTGAAAGACTTTACCAAAAGGTGTACTCATCCATTCAGTTAGCAGTAGGGGGAAGAAAACGGAAGTGTACCCCACTCTAGACAGAGACTTCTTAGAAGAATCTGAAGGCTGAATCCAGGAGTAGGGTAGTGGGTGCTGCAGGACTCTGAGCAGGGTGGCATCTGTGGCTGTTTTAGCAACATAGCCAATAGCCTCCTTTTGCACTTGTGTGGAAGCGGTGCTGACAGAGAACTCAGATGGTGCTCAACAGTCATACTGGGGTGAGGACTGGCTCTGCTACGTTGGGGCTCTGACGTTAGCACTTTGCAGCTCAGTGCTCCCCTGTGGCTCAAATGCCCAAAGCCTGGATGCTGCTGCTGAATGAGGCGAGCTGACTGCCAAGACAGATGAAGAGCTAAGTCATGCGATCGGCCCAGCTGGGGGACTGGTGGGCCAAACCAACAGGTGGACAATGAGTGGGACAAACGGGCAAGTCTGTGTATGCATAAAAGGAGGAGCTGTATAGAGACAGAACCAGAGACCAGCTTGCTGATGGCTCAGGTAAAAAATACATATAGAGCTTTAGTTCACCACAACAATACACACAGCTTATTATTGCAGTTGCTAAAAATTGCACAGATGTAAATGAGTCTACAGATGCGCTCATCACTGTGACACAGAGCACCTCGCTTACTCCGTGCTCACCAGACCTCGGCCGGAACCTGGAGTTCAGTTCTAGGCACCGTGCTATGAAATACACAGCAGTCCAGGATGGTGGGAGACCGAGATGGCTCTCCCATGAACCACAACAGAAACCTGGAGGGATTACGCTGTAAAAGGAAGCCTAAGAAGAATCGGAGCATTCAGCAACGTTAAGAGCTTTCTTATAGCCTAAGGAGCAGCCTGGCTTACTGGGCGGCTCTGGGGGCAGCGTATGGTGGCCACAGATGTTGGTTCAATAAAAAGTCCAAACCCAGCTAGACGGTGATGGAGCTTCCACCAAGGAACTCAGGAAGGCTAGGAATCTGCTGGACATAGACAGAGCTACAGGGAGATAACATGAGTTCCGAGCTGGGACTGGCCACTCACCCTGTGCAGATACCTCATGCAGCTCTCCTCCTCATAGTACTCCTGGAGGGAGTTATAGCCATGGAACTTCCTGGAACACATGGGGTGGGGGAGAAAAAGGACAAAACAACATTAGTTGTAAGATCAGAACTGAGCTCACCGCACTGGGTCAAAGCGTGCCAGCAGCCAAGTTGGGTCTGAAGGCCAGGCTGATTGTATTGCTCCCCCAGGTTCTGTACTGACATAGTTTGTATAGAGGGGAAAGCATCTGGGGTCAAGAGCACTGGCTTTGGCGGCTGGGTCCAAATCCTAACCTGGCCACTCACTGCTGTGTGACCTTAGGGGAGTGGCTCAACTTGTCCTCACCTCAGCTGCTCCCCTAGAGGTACACTGGGTCTAGAGACAGGACTGTCCTGGGAGGTGCTCTGAGACGTATGACTGGAGGTCTTTATAATGACTTGTGATGTCACGTCATTTGAGGCAGTGTGACACTACATGAGACTATAGAAAAGCTGAAATTCAAAGATGTGCTAGAACTTTGTTTTGAACAAAAGTCCTTCCTGTTACAGTCACTCACTGGGCCGCTGTGAACTGGAATGAAACATGTACTGGAACACAGAGATGAGACATGGGCTCACAGTTGCTGCCCTGTGTACTCGTGGAGTGGTAATGAGGCACACACAACATTTACCCACAGCTCGGGTGCACCTGTCTGAATCCCACAGCCTTGCTCTGTGCTGTGCTCTGACCCTGGCGAGGCTCAGCCTGGAACTCCAGAGCCAGGCTGAGGCAGCCCAGCTGCAGCATCTCTGAAAGCCTCCTTTCTCCTGGCTCAGGGGCGGGGTTTGGCCTGGAAGGGTGGCTCTTTTCTGTTTTGATGCCAGACCCTGACAGTATGCCACATCCTTTGAAGGGGAGCATTCTTCCACCTCTGGTCTCTGTACACAGCTCGCCTGGGAATGACCCACAAAACTGAGGCTGGACCCTTGGTGGCCTTTGGATAGGAAACAGGCTGAGTGCAGAAATCCTCCCCAGGAGCCCCGTCCTTGTGCAGTTGGTCCCCTTGCAGTCTTGGGAAAATGTTCCCATTCACCAGAGTGAGGGGGCTTCCAAGATAGGTTATGTCCACAAAACTGCTACAACTGAACTCCATGAAAGAGGAGGAACTCCATGGAAAGCCCAGGGGATTCTCTTTGGGGCTTACAAACTCAGAAGACAAACTGGGAAATTCAAGTGACTTTTTAAAAATTAGACATGCTGTACACATCTACTAAATCCATTTGTGCAAAAGTTTAACTCAGTTCTAATATTTCATTATTGATTTTTTGTCTAGTTCATCTGTCTATTTGCAACAGCAGGGTATTGAAGTCCCCCGTTACAACTGTATTAGAGCTTATTTGCTTTTTCATGTTCGTTAATAATTCATACAACCCATCTAAGTGTGGGTGGTGGCTATGATTCACTCTTCTCTTCTCAATACACCAGCAATTTCCCAGTTTCTGTTTCTCCTGAGAAACTGTTAACAGGTACATTTCAAGGCTATTGGGTGCAAGAAGGTTAATCAAATCCCACAGGAAGAAAAGCAGCAACCCTATGGCCTCAGATCGTTATCTACCTATATCCTGAATGTATACTGTGACACCTCGGTTCACGAACTTAATCTGTGCCATGACTGTGGGGAAAATGGCCACGTTCATGTTCATGCAAAAAACACAGCCACAGTCATGTCTGTCGCCTGACACAGAGCTGGCAAACAACTGTGTTCACGAACCAAGGTACTAATGGACTTTCTCACTTTAGACCAAGCTTAAAGGCACTAAATGGCCAGGCGTGGTGTTGCCTGTCTGTAATCTCAGTACTCCGCAGGCTGAGGAGGAGGACTGCAAGTCCAGCGGGGGCCACTTTGTGAGTGAGACCCTGCCTTCAAGTAATTCAATTAATTAATTAATTAATTAATTTATTGGCGGAACTGGGGATTGAACTCAGGCCCTTGCGCTTGCCAGGGAAGCACTTATTCAAGTAATTACATTTAAAAAAGGGCTGGGGATGTAGCTCAGTGCAAAGGCTCAGGTTCAATCTCAAGCATGGGAACAAAAAAAGACATCAAACACTTGCTCAGTGAGCAGGATGATGGCCTTTTTAAAGAGAATAGTGAGGTCAGCAATCAACTCTACCTTTTGAAGCTGACCTTAGTTAGAATATAAGGAAAGAGATCACTGTGAAGGTCAAGATCGTAGGTGCCCAAAGGGGTCAGGGAGGTAGAACACAGGTGGACGTACACACCTGTCCCCTCAGTTCAAGTCAGCAGTATGAGGCAAGATGTGTGGTCAGTTCCTCTCGCTATTTCCAAGATGTTAGGATTTTTCTGTGAAAATCTGTGTTTAGACACCAGACACTTTTTTTGAGACAGAATCTTGCTTTGTAGTTTGGGCTGGCCTTGAGCTCACTGCGTAGCCCAGCCTGGCCTCACGCTTGCTACACAGCTTAGGCAGGCCTCACACACTCAGTGATCCTTCTGCCTCAGCCTCTCAAGTGCTGGGATTCCAGGCGTGTGCCACCACGCCCAGCAGGACACTTATTCAAGGGGGTGGGGAGGCCCTGTCACAAAGATGGGCTGTGCTAGGCAGAGCTGGCCTGTCTGCAGGCACCCACCTCATCACATTGTCATCGATCTGTGTCAGGGATGTTGCAGTGTAGAGTCTGCTCAAGTCCGTGTCCTCCAGGCTCTGGGGTTTCTTAACGTGGTCTCCAAAGAGAGCTTGCCTAGTGTGAGACACAGAAGCAAAAAATGACTCAATCACTGGTGGAGGAGAGGCCACAGCAGCAGGACCTGGACCAATGGCAAGCCAGGGACAGTCCTATCCTGAGGGACCCAGCCTGCAAGGGACCTGAAAACAGAGCCTTTCAGCCTGTAGAACAATTATCTGTGTCCTGGGTGACTGCAGCAAGACGAGCCCCTCGACCTTACTTTCCTTCCCAGGGACTTCCAGACAAACTAAAGGCTGGGCCGCAGGCTGGGGGAATGTTACACAGGGGAGGCCTCAGGACTTGCACTGTGGAAGGCCGTGGGCAGTGGTCCAAACCTGGGGTGGGGAGCCCCCTTTATACTGGTGTTGGTGAACATCCCCTCTCCCTAGTGGAAACGCCCTTTTTTTTTTTTTATGAATTGTTGCTGCTGCTCAAGGAGAAAGACAGTAGTTAACCCGTTAGCATTTGGGCAACAGGTGCAGGGTTAATTTTTTGTTTTGTTTTTGGTACTGGGAATTGAACTCAGAAGCATGCACATAGTGTCTTTTTTTTTTTTTTTTTTTCAGAACCCGGGATTGAATTTAGGCCCTTGCGCTTGCCAGGGAAGTGCTTATTCTATTGAGTTATCTCCCCAGCGGCCCCAGTAGTTTAGAGTTCTTTTTCTTTTTTTGGTGGAAGCGGGGATTGAATTCAGGCCCTTGTGCTTGTCAGGGAAGCGCTTATTCTACTGGACCATCTCCCTGGCCCCTCACATAGTTTTTTGTATTTGAAGAGATGTGGTATTGCTATGTGGCCTGGGTTGGCCTCTAACTCCTAGGCACAAGGCTGCCTCAGCCTCCTGGATAGTTAGGATTACAGGTACACAGGCCACCATGGAAAATCTGTGTGTAACACGTGCTGCCTCTAGATGACAGCTGGAGAAGCTGTGAATACCGGCCTTACTCAGGTGCCCATGACCCCACCCACAGGAAGCCTCAGCTGGGGTGTGTGCTGGGCTGGGCGGTACCACACACTCTTTGAATCATTGACAAAAAGAGACTAAGAGTCGGGTGTGGTGGCACACGCCTATAGTCCCAGCTGCTGGGGCGGCAGGAAGTGGTTTGAGCCCAGGAGTTGAAAGCCAGTCTCAATAAAAAATAAAAATAAAACCAAAAACAACTGATGATTTAGTCAGACTTCCTTTCCTAAGGGAGTGTATCCTGTGAATGCTCCAGACTGGAGAAACCAAAACACGCCCAAACCCTGCACGGACTCCCAAGATGTGGGAGTCACACAGAGGGAGCCGCGGAGAAGCAGCCTGGCGGTGGTGGAGGAGATCCGAGAGGGGCCTCAAAGGACGGCCGCTCACTTCAGCTTTTCTTTTTTTAGACAGGGTCCTGATACATAGCTTAGGCTGGCCTTGAACTTGTGACAATCCTCCTCCCTCATCCTCCCAAGTGCTGGGATTACAGGTGTGCACCATCACACCCAGCTCAGTTACCTAGTTTTTTTTTTTTTTTTTTTTCCCCAGAATCAGGGATTGAACTCAGGCCCTTGCGCTTGCCAAGCAAATGCTTCTTCTACTGAGCTATCTTCCCGGCCCCCAGTTACCCAGTTTTGATTGGGTCTTTTATTGGGGAGGAGTGTCTGATTTTTTTTCAGTTCATGTATTCTACATATTACTTAGTCCTCTGAAGAATAAGATAGAATTTTTTTTTTCTCTCATTCTGTAGGCTCTCTATAGCAGCACAATTCATAATAGCTATATCTTAGAAGAGGACTATATGTCTATCAACAGGTGAATGGATAAAGAAAATGTGATGTTTATACACCATGAGGACTAGTCTGCCATATACAAGGATAAACTTGAGTCATTAGTAGGAAAGTGGATCTACTTTATTTTTTTAAATCAATGAATCTATCTATCTATCTATCTATCTATCTATCTATCTATCTATCTGGTACTAGGTCTCGCTACACAACTTGGGACTTGTAGTGATCCTCCTGTCTCAGCCTCCCCAGTGCTGGGATTACAGGCCCACCATGCCTGGTTTCAATGGCCAGCATGGAGCACCCATGGTTCCAGGGTGGGTATGGCATGCAGTACTGGGGACTGATCCCTGATCCTTGTGCTTGCCAGGCAGGCACTTAGACGGCCAAACTATCTCTCCAGCTCTGGATCTAATTTAATATAAAGTTAAGGGCCTAGGAGATAGTTCACTGGCATAAACACCTGCTTGGCAAGTGCAAGGTCCTGAGTTTGATTCTTGGTACTGGGGAAAAAAAAAATCACAAAGTTAAATGAAATAAATCAGACACATAAGCTTAAATATCACATGGTTTCTCTTATTTAAAGAAACCCAAAATATAAAGAGCAAAATGAAAGATAGCTAATATGAAACAGGGAGATTGGGCCTTTGGAAAAGGGAAGAGGACCAACAGAAGAAAAGGAAAGGAGAAAGGATGAAAAAGGAGTTAAAATGTGGTACACACATGTACTTATGCCATGAGGAATATAATCATGATGCACTATACACATGTATGCATAAAAAATAAAAATTGGAAAAAAAACCCCCACAAAATCAGGAATGGACTGAGAGTGACACAGTTTGAGCCCAGCCTGGCCAATTCAGTAACTTAGGAAGACCCTGTCACTGGGGAGATGGCTCAGTGGGAGCCAGGCCCTTGCCTGGCAAACACAAGGGCCTGAGTTTAATCCCCGGTTCTGCAAAAAAATAAAAATAATAAATAAATAAATAAAATAAAATAAAAATTCTTTAGGGGCTGGGGAGATGGCTCAGTGGAATAAGTGCTTCCCTGGCAAGTGCAAGGGCCTGAGTTCAATTCCCAGTTCTGCAAAAAAAAAAAAAGTTACTTGTCTCAAGTAGCTTTAAGGGGCCGAGGAGATAGTTCAGTAGAATAAGCGTTTGTCTGACAAGTGCAAGGGCCTGAGTTCAATCCTCAGTACTGCAAAAAAAAAAAAAAAAAAGAAAAAAGAAAAAAGAAAAAAAAAAGGAAGACCCTGCCTCAAAATACAAATTAAAAAGGGCTGCAGATGTAGCTCAAGGTGAAGGCCCTGGGTTCAGTCCTTTGGACGAAGCATGCACAACAAATAAGAAGGGCTGGGTGATGAGCAGAGCTGCACAGAAGGGCACCAAGGGGTGTAGGAGAGGCTGGAGGCTCAGGAGCTGCCCAGGACCCAGGCTGGTGGGAGGAGGCGGGAGCACAGTGGTAGCAAAGGCACAGCGATAGAAATCACAGCTGAGGTGGGAGCAGAAGCGTGGGACACGCAGGACAAGTTGGTGAATGCGCAGTGGCTTGAGGTTCTGGCAGGCTCGTGTTCTGCTCTGGCCTGTCAGAACGCCAAAGGCTGGCCAAGGCCACCCTGATGCCCTGCACAGAAGCACCCTGAGGATGAAGGTCCCCTTCGCAAGGACAGGCCAGCTCAGTTGCTTACTGGGGAAGGAAGGAATGGGGTAGAGGAGGCCTCCTGCCTCGACTGACTAGGAATTACCAGTGCAGACGGAGATGGGCAAATGGAGCTTAGGATGGATTTGCTCCTGACCAAGTCACCAGTGCGCTCAGCAGGCACCTGAGCCACACATCATTTTTCCCTGGAGAGCAGGGCTTCGGGCTCTCGGTGACTGTGAGCCTGTGTCTCCTAGAGGGTCGGGAGGGCGGTACCTGTGCGAGAGGATGATCTTCTTCATGTTGTCAGCCATGAGGAAGTTGTAGAAGCGCCGGCACTGGTCCCACTGCATGAAGGTCTCCTGGGCCCTGGAAGAACCACAGTGAGGGGAGAGGGTTGGCATGGAGGGAGGACATGGGACACAGGTTCCCCCAGGACCTATGGGGACAGTGAGGTTCTCCCCAATGACATTGGAACCAGGGCTCTGATGCACAGCGTGCAAGCCTCTGGGAGGAGAAACCATGTCCTTACAGCACTCCCGCTCCTCTTCCTGCCCGGCCTCTCTTGGGCACAGAGCCTGCCAGAGGCTGCTGCAGCTATCACTCGAATGCTTCCTCCATGCACCTGCTGGCACAGGGAAGCCTAAAAAGGACTTCAGTTGCTGATCTAACCTTCAGCCTTTTTTTATTATTTGCCTGAGGACGCTGAAGGAACAGGGCCATAGGAGCAGTGGCTAGTGGGGTGGTGTGGTGTCTTGCAGCCATGGTGCTATGCCTGGCAGGGACACAACAGCCCACCTGCCATGAGGATCGGACTTGGGGCTCTCCACAGTGGCATGAGGAGTTAAGAGTATCGCTTAGTCCACACCCAAGCTCTGATGGACACTCAGCCATTCTTGCTCCCCCAGCCTCATGTACCCACCCCCCAATCAGGCCCCACTAACCTCCTTTTATCCTATCCATAAAAGATCTAACTCAATAAACTGGACTCAGACTCTCCTTTGGAATTACTTCAGGAGGTCCCACCTGGAACCCCCAAATTCAGGCTGGTGCTCTATTCTTTACTGGTACATCACCATTTACCTAAGAACCAATCTAGCTAGGATTCTGCAGGCAGGGCAGGCATGGCGAGGGGTGAGCTGGTCAGCTAGACAAGGTGAGCATGGCCTCAAGTCTGGCTTTGGTGGAAGAGACCAGAAGGTAGAAAACCCTGCACCTCAGGGGATGGCAGTATCTGCCCAGAACCCAGGGGGCCCAATTAAGAAGGGTTGGAGGAGGGTGAAAGGGCAGAGCACTCCAAAGAAGCTGTGATGGCACAGGGTATCATGATAGACAGACCTCGTGTGTGACAGGTGCAGGAGAACCATGGGAGTGAGGAACTCTGGAGAGGGGAGGGGACAAAGGACATCAGAGTCACGCTGGCTATATGCCAATGGGTGGGGCACAAGGACAGTATGGAAGATCTCAGAGGTGTCTGGGAGACTGCTCAAGAGGGAAAGGACCCCATGATGGAGATTGCGTGGCTACTTAAAATAAGGTTACCTTTCAGGAGAAGCACAACAGAGCTATGTGGTAAGAAAGCAGAGACTTGTAGTGCCCAAATGCCCCAGGGGAAAGCACACAAAAAACAACAGGGTAAGAGCTGGCAGGTCAGGTGGGAGAAGCAGATCTTACATCTGTGATGCAAATCACAAGATGGGCACAGGGGCCAAGTGCTTGACTTGCTTCTGGGTTCTCCATGAGAGAAGGGAGGGCAGGAGCTGCTCCCGGGTCACCTGACGTAGCTGCCAGCAGAAGGACTCAAGGAGGAAGTGTGGAGCCCAGCGAGGGATGGCTTTGTGTAACCCAAGGGAACCCTTGTTTGTAGGAAGCCAGATTTCAAAAATGACAGAAAAGACTGCAATAGGTCTCACAGGAAAGATACCTCCAGAGAGGTGGGAAACTCTTAAAAAGTAATGCTGCCACTAAAGTCACCAAGAAGAGGAGCACACCCCCATAGCCAGTATGCTTTCACTGGAAGTGTTTTTTTTTTGTTTTTTGTTTTTTACTAATAATGGCAAACAACATTACTTTTTTTTTTTTTTTGCGATACCAGGGATTGAACTCAGGACCTTGCACTTGCCAGGTAAGTGCTTATTCTACTGAGCTATCTCCCTGGCCTCTTCAACATTACTTTTATTTGCATTTATTTCATGCTTAATTTACTCCCATGCTATAGGTTTTGTTTCTTCAGTTTCTCCTGGGATAACTTTTCCTTCTGTGCAGCTTCCTCCTCTGGTTTAGGAACGATTTGTTCTTTTTCGGTAAGGATCATTTCAATATGGCAGGGGGAGCTCATGGATGGGTTAATGCAGCCATGAGCTCTATAGTACGGCGGCACATCTAGGGTGCTTTGTTCACCTGGATGTGTTCCATAACCAGAGAACTACATCTAAACCCTGAAGTTCAGTGTTACTCTCTGCATTTTTAAGCATGTGCAGCAAAAAGTCAGCACTCTTTTTGGGCCACTGACCCTGCATCTAGTCTCACTGGATTGGAATCAAAGGGTATAGACACAGCCTCGGATTTTTCTGATTAAAAAAAAACAAAAAACAAAACTCTCACAGCACTGAGGGCAAAGCATCTGGTGGTAGAAAAACTAAACTGTTTCTCCAGGTGGAGTTCTGCCACCGAATTTTACTTACGTTTGGCCGCTTCCCCACTCTTTTGGCTCTCATACAAATGACTGATTATCCCAAGCGATTTCATAGCTCAGCAGCTATAAACGCAGATTTGAGGAAGGCACCAAATACACCTGGGTGATAATACCGCTCTTGTCACACCCTCACCCGCATTTTGCCGAATTGGTCCAATACAAGCAAAAGAGGGAATGTGCACACGGTGTGTCGGAGAAGCGGCCCTCGCTCTTGCCTGGTGTGAGAAGCCTTGGTGGAAACACTGCGACATGAAGGTGACACAGATGTTCCCAGCCAGGCACACTCCTTGATTTGCTCGGCACCCACTCAGTGCGCCATCTATTGCTAACTGACGTCTGCTGGTGTGAGGCTTTATGAAATTGCTCTGTTGTCACGTGTGGTGAGGTCCCCAGGCACCATCTACTCTTATTTATCAAGAAAATGCTTTTTGTTGTACAATTACTGTATTCCCAATTCAGCATTGTAAGATTTTTGAGGCCTCCCTAGGAAAGACACACTGATTTTACCTGAAGGGAGACCAATAATGCTTCCTGTAAGCTGCGTGCAGGCAGGGAGTTCCTGAGCCTGGCTTTGGGCTGGGCACGGTACCCAGGAGGACATCTAATGGCACGAACCAGGGACCGAATTAGTCTCTAGCCAGCCTGGCTTCACTGCATCTCCCTCTCCACTGTGTCTGGTCACTACTCAGTGGATGGATTTATAATTATGTGGGGTTCTTTGTAATGAGGTTTGAGCTAATCAACTAAACAACAGAGTTAGGCTGTCTGGCCACACACATCCCCAGGGCTGGCTGGCGGCTGTTCCTACTGAAGGACCAACATCAAATCTGCAGACGCTGTGTCATGAGGATGCTTGAGTCCTCCACCGCCCACCCTTCAGGGCACAGCACATGGAGCAGTGCGAGCTGATGTGGGAGCCCGACCTTGTTGAGTAAGCGGGTGATGAGTTCCCAGGAGCCTTCAGCAGGTTCAGGGAAGGCAAGCTGAAGGGTGAGAAGTCAGAGGGAGGGCTCTCTGGGCAGAGGGGCTCTCTGGACTCAGCTAGGAGGGATTTACCAATAGTATGAGGTCCCAGGCCTCGCAGACAAAGCCGGGCTGCTATCACCCCAGTATTGAAATGGCTCATGGCCCTCAGGTGTTGGCCGAAGAAAAAAGTGATACTACTAGTTTAAGTTCATTCAGCAGATCTGGTTAACGGGCTGAGGGGACCTGAGCCCAGGGAAGCATCAGTGCAGTGCACTATGGTGTTTCTCAATGGCCACAAGTGTCCATGTGATCTCAGCCCAAAGGTTAATTCCCCATCCTTCCTGGAGAGGGCTGATGGACAAGAGGTACGCACATACAGGAAGCTCTTTAAGGCCTCAGGAGGCTGCTGTGTGAACTATGCCTTCAAACACACATCATCTCAGGTTCTAGTTTCCTAACTTTTTGGCTTTCGCTGTTCTGCAACACCTTAGTTTGCTAATGGTGCTGACTGCGTGCCCTTGCCAACAGCAGATGGTGCTCCTGTGGCGAAATGAAACGAAGTGGTTGTCATTTTAAGATTTTGTGCATTGAGGTGTGTGTGTGGGGAACAGAAGCAAAACAAACTTGTCCTATATCCTCCTATTTATCAAGTCCAGGGCTCTCTAAACACAGAGTCAGCATTCACAGCAGTTGATTTAGAAAGGGAATCTGGTGATATCCATTTTTTTTTGGTAGAACCGGGGATTGAACTCAGGTCCTTGTGCTTGCCAGGGAAGCACTTATTCTACTGAGCCATCTCCCTGGCCCCAATGATATCCATTTAATGAGTGATAGACTGCTAAAAATTGGACCAGCTGTCAGGCGAAGCAGAGCTCTTCCAGACCATGTTCTCCAGACCTTCAGGAGGCTCAGCCCTCGCTCACCTCTTACCCTAGTGGCTGGGCAGGACAGGACTTTGTTTATCTCTGGTTTCATATGGACATGAATTGCAAGTTGAGCATTTCTCAACTTGATTAGAAAGTCAAGCCGAGAAAGGGCACTGTATGTTGTTTTACAGTAACTGTTAACATTTTGTCACATTTGTTGCATGTCCCTATGTATGGTTGTGTGTATGTGTATACATTTCTAAACTAAAAGTTGCAGATACTGTATCATGATACTTTCTCCTTCATCTCTTCAGAGTGTATCTCTTAGGAATAAAGATATTTTCTTACCAAAGAGATAGAAAGAAAAAGAAAAAAGAAAGGGCACCGTGTCTTTTCTTTTGACTGGCTTACCATAGTAACCACAAGAAGGTCTCCAACTGGAGGACCAGGGCTAGCCTAGTCCTGGGACACTGTGGCAGGACAGACCACTGAGGTTACCCAAGCCAGTGACTCTGAAAAACAGTTGAGCATTAGAAGCCAACTGTGATGGGCGTGCAAAAGGCAGATTCTTGGGTCTCAGGCCGCATGAATCAGAGTCCTCAGAGGTAGGGCCTCCAAGAGTGAACTTGTATTCTAATAAGATTCCTGAAGTGATTCTTAATGAAATGAGACAGTCATCAGTTCATCAGACTGGACATTGCAATGCACCAAACTAACCCATGTCCTTCATTTCATAGTAAATAATAATAACAACAAAAATAATAATTAACAGTTACATTTTAGGTACCAGGCACTGTTCTGGTACTTCATATAAATTAACTCATTTGGTCCACATAAACAGTGTTAGTAGTAAGGTCTTGCTATGCAGCCTGGACTCCTAGTGATCCTCCCGTCTCAGCCTCCCCAGAGCTGGGATTACAGGTGTGCACTGTCATGCCTGGTTCCGAGGCCAGCACGGTGTGCTCAGGGGTCTGGGGCCAGCACACCATGAGGTACCGCTGATTGAACTTGGGACCTTGAGCTTATGCTGCCAAGCTATCTCTTCAGCCCCAACTCGGAGGATATTTAGAGCATCTTTTTTGGGCCAGTTTTAAGCCTTGTAGGCAGGGGCTGGTTTCTAGACTGACGTTTGCCTTTTGGTTGTGTTGGTTTCAAATGCCTGTACTATATTTATTTTTAGACATTCTATAGATAGCTTCTATCCATCAGAAAATGTCAATACACTTGAACCAAGGCATGAAAGATACAGGTCTTATTATCTATATATAGTCTGTTTGGCCTTAGACTGGATAAATAAAGAAGTTTTTTTCTGTTTTACTTTCTCATGAGACTCTGGATTTCTTCACAAGGCCTATAAGAACTGGCCACACCCATTTTTAATACAGAAGTGCACACAGGAAAAACTGTGGATGTATCTGAAGAGTCCAGAAGTGTGTGTGTGTGTGTGTGTGTGTGTGTGTGTGTGTGCATGTGTTATGGTGAATCAAGAGATCTGGGACAGCAGTGACAGGGGAGCCACAGCAGATGCCATGCTTTACTTGGACTCCTCCTGCAGGAGTCTGTGGGTCGGAGACCAAGGGAGGAGAAACCTTTCCTCAGGAGGTCAGCTCCTCTGTGAAGAGGTCTGGGATGCCTATGAGGGCTGAGTTCTTGAAGGTGAAGTTGCTGATTAAATGACTTTCACAGATCCCTTCAGAGGCCTCCGAGACTTGAGAGGGACTGGATTGCAAGGCCCTGTGCTTAGACCCTGGCTTACCAGTCCCGAGTTTTCTAGTGAGCCCATGGTCCTGCCATACTCCCAAACTTGGATAGATTAAATCATCTCACAGAGATTCCCTAGGGAAGCAGCACCTGTTAAGGTGGCTTTGGCAGATCCCATTACAGACCTGGTCCTATTGCAGCTGTGTAGACCAAGCTGACATGACAACCTCAGTGTATAACTCCAAAGCAACACCAGGTGAGTACAAGACTCATAAATGTATGCTCTGTCTACCATAGTGTTCCCTGGGCCCGTGTCTGGTGTGTTGGGACCTTGAGCTAAAACACACACTAACTGGAGGACCCAGTGGAAGAAAACAGCACATGGGCGTGGTAGAAATGACTCACCTTAGTGCGCTATACCCCTGGCACACACTGACGCAGCACAGGACCTTTTCCTGGTTCGCCTGGGTCTCCCCCAAGTACTTGCACACGATGTTACCCCCCAGGCTGAAGCCCACGACGACCAGCTGGGTCAGGGGGTAGGTCTTCTTAATGTAGTTCACCATGGCTCCGAATTCCCATGTGCAGCCTGTGAGCGAAGGGTGACATCACTCAGTCATTTCAGGGGCAACAAATACTGGAGAAAATGTATGCCAGAGAGTTAGTAAGTGGGTGCTGCCCTATTCAATGAGAGAGAAATGTATATGAGTATGTGTGTGTCTGTGTTGAGAGCTAGAGACAGACAGACACTGCTCTTTGCCTAGAGAGAAGTTCTCAGATGCCTCCGTATTACAGGAAACCAGGAATCAGCAGTAGCCATGGGTGGAGAGACTGCATCAAATACATGTACAATGCTCCTTTACAGGTGCGTCAGGAGAAATCTGCTCAGATATTCACGGACATTGAACCATATATTTAGGGTGTGCATGAGCACATGTGTTCACAGATGTAAATAAAAGCAAGAGCAAACTCTTTTGGGATTAGAACCTTGGGGTACAAGTTGGGGCGCTATACCCAAGTGTGCAACGATTCATGGCACCAAGAGAAGTACTAAGTGGATGTGATTTACAGGAACCTCTTGTCACTGTTAGGACAGAAGGGAAGATGAACTTCAGTCCAGAGGGATGGCCAGGAGGCCCTGCAGGCTTAGGGTACAGTGTTCTTGGTGATGTAGGAACAGGGCGCCCAGGGAGCAGAGCCATTCAGAAGTACTCGGAGGAGCGCTCTCTGGGCTGCGTTAGCCTAGGAGGGAGGATCTCAGCTGGTGCACTGCAGGCAGCTGTTGCAGCTGTGCTGTCTCAGGAGCTCCACTAAGAGGAGGAGGCGGATGGCTACATCCAGGTGAGGGCATGATTGCATCCTTCCTGCTCCAACCCCAGAGCACAGGGAGCTAATGTAGAGTAAAACCTAACAGGAAAAGCAAGGGATGTTGGCAAGAGGTGTAGACCAGAGGGGGAAAAGCATGGACTGTTTGCTCGGTTTTTATACAGGGTTTGTTATGCAGCTCAGAGTAGTAGTGATCCTCCTGTCGCAACTTCCCCAGCACTTGCATTGTAGGTGTGTGCCACCACACTTGGTTTTGGGGCTGGCATGGAATGTGGTACTGGGGATCAAACTCTGGACTTTGTACTTGCCAGGCAGGCGCTTAGACCATTGAGCTATCTCCCCAGACCCGCCCCCACCTTTTATTAAGAGCATGGATTTTACATGGAAATGTGAGTTGGGACCTGGACACCAGTTCAGTGGTGCTGACAGCTCTAATAGAATGGAACAGCTCGCTCCCTAGCCAGTAAGCCTGAGATGACACAATCCTTGCAGCCAAGCTCCTGACACCTGTGTTCCTTTTGCAGTGACACAGACCAGGCTGGGATGGCTGCATGGACCAGCAGGACAGTGTGAGATGGCCTCACCCCTGAGGGGCGGATTCCACGAGCCAGGGGCCAGGCCCAGGAACCTGGATAAAACATGTTTTGGAGTATGTAACCTATGTACACAGTACAAAATTCAAATGGCATAAAAAATATGGTAAAAAGTTTTTTATACTCTTTTTTTTTTAATGCCAGAGAAAGGATGTACATTGTTTAGTATCTTACCCCATCCCTCTAAAATATGTCTTGGAAACTAATATGTATCAATACACATAAAACTGCCTTACTGTATTAGGTATGTATGAATGCATGTTTTTGAAATAGGGTCTTGCTATGTAGTCCAGGTTGGCCTGGAACTCTTGTTGATACTCTTGTACCAGTCTCCTCAGTACTGAGAATATAGGTATATGCAGCTATATCCAGCTATTTGTAGTTTTAGGGATGCATAACATATACAGAGAAAAATGTGCCATCAGTGAATTTTTACATATTTACACCAGGTTACTACATCCACATGAAGATGCAGAATGTCAGTACGTCTGGAGGCCCACAGGCTTCTTTCCTGACAACAACCCCTCTACTTGGAGTCCTGATCACAATCTGAAAGCCTTGGGAACTCCTGTGACTTGGAAGGTGGCAAAGGATGCATAAGACTAAGAAAACCAGGAGCCAAAGGCGGCTCCCTCCCAACATGGCAAGGCCCAGGCACCACCTGAGATGGAAGCATGCTCTCTGTGCTGGGAGATCCTGGGGACCCGCTCTCCCACCTGCTCCTCCTGGGTCTAGCAGAGGCCGGGCAGTGTTCAGGTCTTCAATAAAGACGAGGAACTGAGTGGATGCTTGGGGCAGGCTGCTGAAGGAACAAAGAGTTGGTCCAAAGGGAACCCTAACCTCTTAACCAAGGAATTCAAAGGCCAGACTTTCATCCCAACTAGGTCAGATTCATCTCAGCTCCTCTTTCTAAAAAAGGCAGCAATGGGAGGTATATGTAGCTCCAGTCAATGTTGGCTTTCAGGTAGGAGCTGTGATGTAAAGAAGGGGGCTCCAAATGCACTCAGCGGGGATCACAGATGCTCAGCTTCACCACAAATGCAAAGTCAAAAATGCCATTAGAGTCTGTTCACCTCCCTCAGGCCACGGAATCCTACATACAGGTCCTCAAGAAGCAGCCCAGCCTCGCGGCTCAGTGAAGGTTTCCTGGTTCACCGAGCAGTCCCCTTGCTCCCAACCTCCCTCTGATGACAATGAACTCCAGGTGTGAGGGCCATCACCACAGAAACAGGATGGGGCCCAGGTATGGGCACTTTCAACAAATACCCTGGATGACCTTTTATCTTGAGAGAACTCTGGAAAATTACCAAACTCTGGATCTGTTCCCTTATCTGTCAAATGGAGGCAATGATAGTAAACACCTCAGAGTTATTCAGAGAACTGAGTAAGGTAAATACATAAATGGCTTAGATCAGAGTCCAGAATATAGGAAGCGTTTCTTTCTTCCTTTAAAAATATACTTTATGTAAACCTATATGCACAGCAGCATCATTAGTAACAGCTACAAGGCGTAAGCAACCACACGTCTGTTAGTAGGCGAATGGATGAACAGAACAGTGTCACTTGAAAGAACAGCACTTACCTTTAGAAAGGGGGGAAATTCGGACACATGGGACGGCACGGTTGAGCCTTGAGGCCATTATGATAGATGAAATATACCAGTTATAAAAAGACAAGACTATTTAATTCTACCTGTGAATGTCAAATTCAGAAATAGAAAGTAAAATGGTAGTTGCCCGGGCCTGAGGGAAGAGGGAAATTAAGTTGTGCAGTGCGTACAGAGTTTCACTTTTGTTAGGTGAAGAGCTTTGGAGACTGGCGACACAGCAATGTCAGTGTACTTCCGACTACTGGATTGCACACTCCTAAGTGGTTAAGGTGGAAAATCTTACATTATATGTATTTTATTATGATTTAAAACATCACTTAAATAAGAACTTGAAGCTTAATACTTGAAAATGCCAATCTAAATTTCTAGATTGCCCTCCACAGAGATGTTCTCCAACCTGGGGATCTTGTATAGCACTAGCCACTCGTGCCTGGCCTTGCCCAGACTATGGAAGTCAGTGTGGGATCTGGGTCCGGGTTCTTCTAGGGGATCCCCACGTGATTCCAGTGTGAAGCCAGTTCAGACGAGTATGAAAAAGTATTTTCTAAGGCCCTGTCTCTTTCCTCTCAGGACCATCTCTAGATTCCCAGCCCTTTCTACTTGCAGTAAGTGGCTTCCACAGATGGGGGTGCTGCTCAGTCTTCTGGAAGCATCCTAAGCAGAGCTCTTAGCCTGGTGGCCTCTTTCTGAAAATTTCCTCAGAGCAAGTTTTCTGCAAGGGGCCCAGTCCCTGTGCCATGTAACCAGGCACCTCCTCCAGATCCATCCAACACCAAACAAACAAACAAACAAACTTTAAATTTCTACAACTGCTTTCTGCTAATATTTCTTGAAAAGAGTGAGCCAGAAAAGCCACGTGAGTGAAATCTCACTGTAAGATGACGTTCTGGCACAGTGGTCTTCCACGTGTGGTCCCTAGAATGGTTCTCATCAGCGTCACATTTTCTTGACAACAGTTCAAAATTGCACATCCTCAGTCCCACTGCAGAATTGCCCAGTCAGGAGCTCTGGAGGAGGGGACCATGCAGAGGGCTTGCAGGGCCCCAGAGGCTTTGATTCAGTGGGTCCGGGGGTGCTCAGAGTTCGTATGTCTACTGTTCCTCAGGCGATGTCAATGCTATTGGTCCAAGGACCTTGCTTTGAGAACCACTATCCTAGTTGACAGCAAATGTGGGTGAAATCCTCAATTTTCTGCTTCTCTTTTTTTTTTTAAAGAGAAAATTTAAAAATTCTCATGGTATTCATAGATAAGGAAATTCAGATGGGTGCTGTAGTACATGGCTGTAATCCCATTACTTGGGAGGCTGAGGCAGAAAGACTGCTAAGTTGGAAGCCAGAGTGGTAAGACCTTGTCTGGAAAAGACACCAGGAAATGCCTGGGGATTTGGCTCAGCAATGGAGTGCTCTCTAGCCCACAGAAGGTGTTTGGTTCCATCCACAGCATGGCAAAGAAAGACAAAAAGGAAAGGGAGGGGAAAGAAAAAAAAAATGGAAATGACAATTACAAATCAATTTTCATTGTCTACATTAGAGAGGACCAGCAACTTGGCCAACATCCAGGATGCGAGAGATTGGGGCACCTGGCCCTCAGATCTGTTCACTGCTGCGTGCGCTCACTGGGATAGGCCTTGGAGGGCAATATAACAACACATACTGATTTTAAAAAAATTCTTTGGTCCAGAAATTCCATTTTTAAAAAAAATGTATTTAGAACAGGGTCTGTAGGGTCTCACTACAGATTGGACTCCTAGTGATCCTCCTGTTTTTTCAGCCTCCCACGCGGTGGACTTACAGGTGCGTGCCACCACGCCTAGTCTCAGCCATCATCTCAGTCTCTCTCTCACCCTACTCCCTGCGCCGGCCTAAGCAGGCACTTCAGTCCACAGCAATTCCGCTTTGGATGACTTTATACTGTGATATATTTGTACGTGTGTACAGAGATGTATGCACAAGAATGTTCCCCACAGTGCAGTTAGGAAACCACCCACATCTCTATTTAACTGGGACTAGTCAAACTAGGCAGCGCTGTACTCCTGTCTGCTGACGTGGAACACCCAAGCC